GGTTGCCTGGAAGAAATTGCTGTTTAGCAATAAGGCCGCCATTTGTTTACTCAATCTCTTTGATAATAAGCTTTTTTGTGAACTATGTATCATATTGAGTGCAATAAAGTATTTTATTATTATTATTATTTAAATTAATGATATCGTTCATCTAATATCTTTCAAATGTGAAATTGAAAAGATTACTACCGCAATCGTTTTCAATTTAAAAATTATTAAATAAGGCTCTTTTTCTCCATTAGACATTTATACTTCAACAGACGAAAATAGTATTTTATGCTTATATCATATTAACCTACAGTCATTTAGAGAGGATATTAATGCTATAATAACTCTAAACTCAATGTTAGCTGGACATATTAAGATCACGATGAACTGTGTGGTTAGCTGTTTCGTGTTTTTTTTTTCATTGTCCCATCAAATTGGGTCATAATAATTATGCAACTGAAGTTATAATGCATTCAGTTTAACATATGTATATATAAGATGTAATATTATTATATGCAAAGACTTCGTGAGATGGATGAGTTAATTATATCAAACAACAATTACTATGGGAGCAACACTGAATTGACGAAATAATAATCGGCTATTTCATACTGTTGGCAATTATAGATATAATAGTTATAATAAAATTATTTCCCAAAAAATATTACATATACATTTACAAGATTTTTCAGGCCCCCATATTACAATTTTGTATGAAACAATTGATACATTTTTTCGTTATTTCAGTGTTGCTCCCAGAGTAAAAGTTGCTCAGTACAATCAACGTACCCACGCCACGAATCCTATCATATAATAATACTACATCTTAAAGCATATATGTTATATAATGTCAGGAAAATCATCGATGTTGTTTTCTTATGAAAATATATGCGTTACAATTTTGTATGAAACAATTGATACATTTTTTCGTTATTTCAGTGTTGCTCCCAGAGTAAAAGTTGTTCAGTTTAATCAACGTACCCACGCCACGAATCCTAGCATATAATAATACTACATCTTAAAGCAAATATTATGTTATATTATGTCAGGAAAATCATCGATGTTGTTTTCTTATGAAAATATATGCGCACTATCCATAAATGAAACAACTTTTAAACTCATGATGCCCTTAAATTTTAAGGATATATAAAACTAAGAGTTTATATGAAGGAACGAACAAAAAGGGAGGCTAACTGGGCGTATATTCCGTATTGTATACAGCTTTGTAAAGTGTTTATCAAGCCAAATATTTACAATGAACTCTAAACTAAGGTAAAACCTAAACAGAGTACGTCATATTGATTAGTAATAGATTTTTCATTGTTGCTCAATTCTTATTAGTCATTACGTGATGTTATATAGTCTATAGCCTTCAACATAAAAATATATTTTCGATTAGATTTATCTAGTTCCAGGAATTAGTGCTTTCAAATAAACAAACTCCACGGCATTTAAAGTACTTGTACTCCAATCATTTACCGAAATAAGACTATATTCTCGTTGTTCTTATATGTGTTGAAGGACCCTGGGCCTCCACAGAGTACATTTTGAAAAACACTAGTCTGGTACCTTAAGTTGGTGTAGAAACTTTGCAAGCACGATGTAGATTGCTTTTCGCACCCCAGCGTCATCTACGAATTGGGTGAAGTAACTTAAACGGTCAGTTGCACAAACGTCCATTAAGGTTTAATGACTTCTTTAAGCTCTAATGAATATCAAATTTGTATGGGTAATTCCGCATTAAACTAAAGACAATTTTAATGGGCGTTTGTGCAACTGGCTGAAAGTCTGTGTCTTAAAATCAATTTTTGTAGCAATGTTACCATGTTGAAATACATGTCGCTGTATGTAGGTCTTTCTTGGTTGTCTCGAAATAGATGAAAAATAATTAATGTATGATTTCTATATAAATTTCTGCAAAAATCCATGTATAATATTTATCAATATTATTTAACTCTACAACTAAACGTATTTAAGAATAAAATTATGATATACTCGTAACATCACGGTTTTACTCTTAATAATAATAAGAAGGTATATGTATATGTAACTTTATTAAACGAATAAATCTTTTAGTTTATACCAGATAGCCTAGGTACATACAGGGAAGCTTATAGAAATAGGTCAGATCAATTACCAGTAATGAACAACGGACATATGTGCTTGTGTGCTCAACTAATTAGAGTGCGGATCATCCTATTTGTTAACAAGTGACAGTTTGACCTAGTGGTGAAGTTTGTTTGATTAATTTGTAGTCGAAAGTTTGGTTATTTTATGTGTATAATTGAAAGAGTTAGACGAAAAATTCTGTACCTTAAATAGTTAATTTATAGCGACTACATCACCGCCATCTATCTCACCGTGCAACAGTAAATGACGGCTAAGGAACACTTTAAGCTAATTCGCTCAGTCACAAAATGGCGCTGAGCACCCTGCATTGCGGTTACTAAGTTTCTACGCCAAAGTTTAAATATATATGTTACATTTGAACTACAACATTCCTTGGATGAATAGGCTCTAGGAAGGAAATTTCTCACAGCAGCGACATATGTCCCCTTCGGTAATAATAACTTCCATAATCTGTGTTTCTTACAGCAAGTTGCACAAACGTTCATTAAAAATCTCGTTAGTTTAACGCCACATTACCCATACAAATATTCAAATTTGGAACATTCATTAGAGCGTAAAGTCGTCATTAAACTTTAATGGACGTTTGTGCAACTGACCGTAAGTGCGTTAAACGCGAATGTTGTAAGTAATGAAATTCGGTCAAACTTTTACGCAATCTTACGGTCTCACAAAACACTGTCTATTATAATAAGCCTATATCTAATCTTTATTTCTAATCTGTTAATGAAATTCTTGAAAAATATTTTTATATAATTCCTATAACTCATAGGAATTTTATTGTAATTGTGGTCGTATAGTAATCCAAATTTTAACGCCTTTCACGAAATCAAAAGATTTTATAACGCTAATAACCATTATAGCTTGCTCAAAAATATTAATTAGCAACTAAAGCGCTTGTATTGATTTAAATTATTTTTGCCATCGTTTTAAGGCGGAAATGAACCCGGTCATCGTACCATTTCCTACAAAGAAAATCATTCATACAATCAATATGTTACAAGATACATACAATGATTCTAACCTACTGCGCTACCTGCTACACGACACAATCGCCTTTAGAACCTTTTCCAAGTCAACTTCAAATGTTTTTCTTTCTACAAAGTAAGAGAAAGGTAGTTATAATTCAATGTGATACGGTGGTAACGAATTTTGTTGGTACCGAACGCATCTAAATTCTAAATGCGTGTACAGACCGACACGCGGTCTTTCGCAGCCTTCTAATGTTCTAATGTCACCGTAGACTTAAGAAAGAACAAAACTAAATGAAATAAAATTTGTTTCGAATCGACGAGCCGTATGGATTCAATGGTCCAATTTCTATGTAGATAGCTTATGTAAGCTCGCAGTCGGAATGGTTTCTCTTGTTGGTTTTTCAATTATTATTTATTGTTATGATTTAACTAATAGTGTATATAAACACTAATTAATTATGCATGTTAATTATATTTATAATAAAAATTAAATGAACTGTCAACTGAAATGAGGAAATTTATAATTATATTGTGTATTTTTTTAAACGAAAAAACATGCCTCGTGTTTCATATCACAATTAAAATATCAAATTAGAAAATGACTTAAAAAGAACACTATTATAAGTCTATTCATTTGAAAAAAGATTACAATCGTCAGCATTTTTTTTTACGTAAAACTAATTAAAAAGGTAGAGTTATACATGTGTAAACTTTTTCATAACTCTACATAACATTTGGTATGCTATGCCGCTATAATCGTGACGGCATAGAGAAGTGTTTAGTATGATAATGTTGGCTTTGAATTCACCCGTGTGGTGGTTGATGAATGAAACCATCGGAGTTCTTAGATTTTTGGGCAATAAGTATGCTTTTAAATAGGTTATAATGTTAATTGTTAATTCGTGTGTTATTTTTACTAAATTTTTATGTACGATTGTAAATGAAATTTAAAAAATCGAAAGACACTAAGATGTCAAAATATTAAACTTCGAGCTAAAAATACAAATAAAGTGATTAATAATTCTCAAAAGAACGCTAATAAAATTCTCTTAAAATATGCAAAGGTATTCCGCTTGTAGATTATAAACATTTGTGATTTTTTTTTTACTCAGAGAAGAATGAGCGGGTTACTTTAAAGCTGGGAAAAATATAAAACGTTGGGATGTGTACATTTTTAGTGGTCACAAAGAATTTTAATGAAAGAAAACAACAACTGCAATTTAACAATCGGTAGACAATATAGAGCATAACGTAACGTAAAATAAAGAACATAAAGAAAGCCATGAACCAACAGGGTAAAACTAAAAACGAATAATCCTAATATTTATAATCGTAAAAGGGTATTCTACTCCGTTTGAAATAATACTTGTTTATTTTCATTTAAAAAAGCCATAAAACAAATATTTCGGAAAAATAAAAATGAAATAATTTTTTTTGCCTTAAAATCAAATCAAAATTTAAACTTTTTTTATCACCCGCGAAAATGCTATCCGTCATATTCATGACGTTACTGTGATACGAACACAAAACAGATGCGTAGAGTTCAAGATTAAAAAATATAATTAAAACAAGAACAATGCCATCTAACGATTACGCAGTAAAAAGATATAAATAAGCTAAGAACACCATCTAGAAATTTGATTTATAATTAATAGGTATATCTTTATGATTAATCTAACAGTTGTAGCGACAGTGACGTCTCACAATGTTTCAAGTCAGGTGACACACAGACAAAAAAAATCGCATCTTTTAAGATAATAAGATAATCGAGCGATTTTTAAGACTCAAAATCAGAATCTCTATGTATAACTACATATTTTTGTGTAATTTCGTGACTTATTTTTCACTACCGAAATTATCCTATTATTGATGAAAGTAAAAATATAATTTATGAAAATGTTTTTGTTGCAGATGCCCATTCGATGCGCAAGCGTGACGCCGATGATGCCTACGAAGGCCTAATGGGAGATGAAGCAAATGATGATGAGACTCAGAACGATGCGGAAGGCGGTAAGGCAGTTTAGAAGTGAATGCTTCCTACAATTAAAGATTAGAAATTCTATTTAGAAGTGCTTCAATTATGATTATACAGAGATAATTAATACTGTTAATATCAACACCTTAAAATAATGAAGTGCAATCAAGCCTAAACAGTTTAAGCCTAACAACTTTAAATTTTATTGTGAAGGTTTAGAGTTAAATGCAGTTTAGGAGTAACATTTAAATACTCCATAATTTTAATTTATTAGTCCAATATTATAAAATTTTTAGACATTAATCATACTAATCAGTATGATAATACTTTTTTTGTGATTGAAACACGTAACTTAGTAAAGAGATTGGAGAGCGGACTTAATCCGCCATTTTGCTAAATAAAGGCACTCTCTCAAATATACGCACGCCTATATTAAAGGCATTAAGTCCGCTATTTTGTACCATTTTAGATGCAAAATAGTATAATAAATAAATAAAATGTGGTAAATTATGCAAATATAATTAACCATTACACGCAAATTTTAATGAAGCACAAACTGTTAATAAATTAAAATAATAGTATTCTTATTATTAATAGACAAATTCTTGTTCATTTAGTAAAAAATATATGCTTAAGTTACATATAACATATTCTCGATTACTTCTCGCGACTATAGATACAGAGGTAAAACTCTAGAAATATGATTAACCTATACTAATATCACAGTTTCTAGTATTTGACTTTGCTAATATAATAAATAGGAAAATTTTGCAAATAAGCTACAAAGCTATTGCACCGATTTAAAAAATTCTTTTATCTATGGGAAACTACATCATACGCGATCTATATAGGCTATAGTCACGGGAACAGGAACAACTAATATAAACCTGTACAAAGTTTAAAAACAAATTATTCGTAAAACGTTGAACTAGTTAAAACTGTAACGTAATTAGTACTTCGAATTTTTTTCTAGGCAATGATCCAGAAGAAGAGGAAAGTATACTAGCTGTAATCCAAACTCTACCAACGGTGTACAATGTTACTGTGGGCAAAACTATACGACTGGAATGCAGAGTAGAGCCAGCAGGTTAGTAAGCTATAGTATAAGTGCTCTTAAATTTAGTCTTATAATATTGCTTTCGTCATCTCTCATAGTATATATTAATCTGGAAGCGATATAAGAAATGTAGGAACATAGATAATACTTGTCTTAATGTTATATGGGTTAATAACTTAATACTATCAGACAGTACTTACTTTCTTTTGTACTCATATACGAAATCGTTATCTCCAACAAGTACAACCCAATTTATTTAATTAACCAACCACGCGTAGCTGCCATCCGATTGCCATATTTGATCGTACGCAGACGGAAGCTCCTATACGGAACTTGAACAGTTTTGGCGCCACAGGAAACGCCGCCATCTTGTGAATCAACTTTTTAACGGCTGATGAATCATAGCCCCTATTTTTCGGAGCTCAATTTATTACACCGAATAATGTTTAAAAAGTAATATAGTACGTGAATTAATTAAAAATTCTATGCAGACCTGTATATTTTGCACTGTTGTCTACTTTCTATGATTTATTGCATCCATTTTCTAATGGATATGTAAAATTATGCCAGGAATAAAACTTATTGTTTACTTTTTAGTAATCATGGTTTTGTTATTGCTTTTGCGGTACCTTAACAGGAGGTAATTGGCCTCATTCTTATACCTTCACATCATTGACTGCACCATATATATAAGCTGCCTATAAAAAATGAAGCCTAATAAACTTCATAATACGTATCTTGCTTTTTATGTCAGCAAACTTATTTATAAACCCTATCTATCGTGATAGTTCTGAAATTAAATTAAAAGCTATTCATGGAGTTAAATTATAATCCGTCAGTAGTTTTTCATACATAAGAAATTACGAACAATACGACTCCCAATCTCTTATGTTTTTTTTCTATTTTCTAGAAGTTTAAAAAGAAAATGCGCACTCTCATACTCTATCTTACATCCTACCAGCGTTTACGTCATACTTTTCTTAGGAATTCATCATCATTATCTCTTTTACATCCCCACTGCAGGGGCTCAGGCCTTCCTTATGGATGAAAAAGGAAGATGGCTCATGACCGCTGGCCCAATGCGGATAAGAGAGAATTAACGTTTGCAAATGAAATATCCAAATCTAAACGGGAAAAAATGCGTGCCAACTAAGCAACGTTTTTATTCTTTGTTGTAGAGATATGTATTAAGTCTCATATAACATAATACCTAGATAAAATAAAAATCGTCGGTTGCCGTATCAAAAAAATCCATGCTTTTTTTTTTCAGACGGTCCTGTCATCCAGTGGAGCAGAAACAAACAACCCTTATTCATGGGTCATTTGCCGATGATATCAAAGGGCATAGAAAGATTTTCAATGTGAGTATAATATTTTTTGACCACATAAAAGTATGAAGGACTGGCAGGTCACAAAGTCGATTAACTTCAATTTGATAGGCATTAGCAAATGCATAAATTCCACTAAACGTTCAATACGATGGAACTACCGAGTGAGCTGTGTGCGACAGACGGCCACTACAAACATCATTCTCCGTCCCAGCATCACCGCGAGTTGTGGAAGAAACAGCAAGCGAACGCTCTAGACGTGTTCATGAGAACCTAGTTGCAAACTATCAAAATCTCACTTAAAAGATGCAATTATAACTCCGATTTGTGCCTTCGGGTGTTTTCAAAAGTCTGCGTTATCCAAACTGAAAATTATTAATAAGGGGAATAAATAAAAATAGTGCTACTCCGACTGTTGTTTATGTTCCCAATACTGTGTATCATTAGTTTAATCCGAGAATGATCAAATCAAATTCAATTGAGTTACGTGGTAGATTTGCGGATCTGGATGTGATACGGCTTACCACATCTAATGAAAGGCTTTGCAAAATTTTGTAAAACTTCGCAATCCTACCATAAAAAATGTCATGCTATATAAAAAATGTTTTTTTTTTCGTTACCAGTGCTCCAAACTCAAACGATCTTCTGATTAGCGATGTGAAGCCCTCGGACAGTGACGTGTACAATTGTTCAGTGTTGCAAAATCCACCTGTAGAAATTGAGCACACTTTGTCGGTGCATGAAGCCCCAAGGATAGTCAGTAAGTAGTAATTTAGTTCTAAATATCTGATTTATTGCTTTTATTGCATGACGACCTCTGTGGAATAGTTTGTGCGAGAAATTCTTATCGAATAACTATTCGGACGGTGCATATGCGGATTGATGGGCGTTAAAAATATTGCAGATGGGACTAATGGCGGCGTCGAGATTACCCAATTATTACTCTGTTGCCGATGATTCTTCATACTGAGTCATATCTAGTTTCAATTCTTTTTCTAGATATAAAAAAAATATATAGATATATAAATTTATCAAATTACGTTATCTGTCCGCGGTGTATCAAATTAATGTCAACAACATCCTATACTGTGTTTGTGTGTTTTTCCGATAGTATTCTTACCATCTACATTATTTTCCTTTCTTATACTATTATTTCGGTATCTCGGTGGCGTGAGTAGCTCGGTGGCGTGAGTAGCTCGGTGACGTAGTGGATAAGCGCCGCGGCCCGCGATCGTAGTTGTTAAGCAACTTTCGCTAGGGTCGGTCACTGGATGAGTGACCAAAAAATTATTATCTCGAGCTACTCCGTGCTTCGGAAGGCACGTTAAGCCGTTGGTCCCGGCTGCATTTGCAGTCATTAATTTCCTCCAATCCGCTTTGGGCCAGCGTGGAGGGTCATGGCCCATCCTCCTTAACCATCCATAAGGAAGGCCTGAGCACCTGCAGTGAGGACGTAAAAGGGCTGGTGTGGTGATATACTATTATTTATTATTCCTTCCTAACTTTCTTATTATCCATTCTCTACACTATTTCTCATTTGCCGTATATGCGGCCCTGGCCGTACCTTCCACCACCTAGTTTTTAAGAAATAATTGTGAAAAATAATTTTTAAAAGCAAATATTTTTGACATTGAACAGGATTCTCTGCATCGGATAACGGTACTGTGGTGGAAGGATCGGATCTTCTGCTCACTTGTGACGTCGCTGGCTCTCCACCACCACAAATCATGTGGTCTAAGGAGACAGATGCTGGTGTAAGTATTAAAAAAAAAAATATTTGATTTGATTTATTTGGTACCAGAAATTCCCTTCGGATATATAAAAAATATTTTCTGCTTAATATTAATATGATATATTACCGTCTACAATACATATACAAACGTCAAGCTGCGTAATTTGACGCATTTTGCCAATATTGAAATAGGTAAAAAAACTATTTAGTCCGTCAGTTAAATAATAGAAAAATATTATAAACATATTTTTTGAAGCAAATAAAAATAGCTTAGAAAACAGATATTAAAGTTAGAGTTGGGCTCGCCACGTCATAACTATGTAGAAAATGTACAGAGGTATGACGTCATGCAATATCAACTTAATTATAGTCGGACAGATAAAAATTATAGTCCTCGTCCCTAACGCCCTGCCTATTTCAATAAAGATTGAATGTGATATGGAATATGTTGTTATCGACCCAGAGAAAATTTTGCTACCAGTAACCCTCGGTATCATGCGGAATCAAGTATGTGCAATTGATCTAAAAATATAACATTAGATTTTGGCCCTGGTACTCTTAGATCTGGAAAATTTACAAAAAAACAAATATAAAGCAGATGCAGTGGAGCTAATATAAGATATTAATTAAAATACATATTAGAAAGACAATAAAAATAAGAATACAACATAAATATTTCTAAAGAAACAACGGCTGCTTCCATAAACATTCATATCCCTGACGTACTTGATTGAGCAAACTAACGTAATCAACTAAACGAAATGCTAACTTTAGACAGTGCGAGAATTAATATATAAATAGTGAAACACTCACACTTATGTGACTCAGAGTTTTAGTTGTCGAGTTAGAAAGTACATGCGTAGTTATGTTGATTAAATAAGATACGCATAATTTCTAGAAAGCATAAGATCTGTAATTTTAGCTTAGAGCTCTTGCCCGTTCAGGAATAGAGTCTACGACTGCAATCGAATTAACGCTACCTATTATTTGTAGGTCCATAGAAGTAATTCAGGACATTCTCTGATTATCTCAGAAATTCTAAATAGAAAACTTTAATCAGACAAAAAATATTTCGTAAAAAAACAAACGATGATACTGAAATTCTTTAAGAAGCTAAGATTTTTTGTCATTTTAAATCGAAGTCAATAATAATATTTTTAATATTTCCACTTGTAAGACAGCCTTTTCTATTGATATATTTGCATTTTAAAAAAGCAGTGAGCATCGACTTGCAGTACAGATTAGACTATATAACACGACAGCTGAATTCATCTTTTTTATCTCACCTTTAGAGGATTTACAAATTAATAATATTCTAATATTCTGTGGTTAGCGTTCCTATAAATTTCAGTTGGCTTATCGTTGGGCCTGTCAATCGTTAATCCAATAATGAGCTAACTTAAATTATTGCTAACGTTTGTAGGGAGCAAAAAAGTCGCCATGAGACAGACAGATAATTGCCATTCCATTACTTAGTAAATTTCTTTTAAGATAATTTCCAATACAGATATTCTTTATTATTCGTATTTTGAATTATTAAATTAATTCTATTGCAGAATGTGCGCCTACAAGAAACAGACGGCAATTTTTCGCTAAATAGTGTGTTTATACAAAATATCAAACGCGAGCAAGCTGGCAAGTACTATTGCTACGCCATCAATGGTGTCGGAAATGCACAGGCGGAACTCACAGTTAAAGTATTGCGTAAGTATTTTATATATTTAAATATAATATTATAATAGTAAAATATAATAATTGCATTCCGAATGCAAAATTAATCAAACATTCATATTGAAAATGCTTAAAAATTCCGCTTTGTCAATGGTACTCTGAAATCTCATCTCAGATTGTCAGGGACAAAGTGAATTTCTTAAGCATTTTCATTAAAAATATTTTCCAGTATAACATAAACAATACGAAATTGTTCAAAAAGAATATTTAATCACTTTTTTTATCCTCAAAAGTCAAATTAAGATTTTTCTCTAGATATGCGGTATGAATTGAGTAAATATTCAGTAGAATCAGGCGTTATCTTGTAAAAGCTAATGTGATAACTGTAAAACAATTATTATAGAAACTACTATACCATTAAGTAAGTGCTAAATAATTTTGCGTGGTAAACATAAAAACACGCCAATCCAGTTTATTTATACAAATCTGTCAAATTCTCCTCTCAATTGATTTGAGGGGAGAGTTTGATATCTTAAGGAGACATTCGACGTACTTTGGTAACCTGACGTGGTGCCGTGTTGTTAAAACATCATCACCAGCCCTTTTACGTCCCCACTGCAGGGGCTCAGGCCTTCCTTATGGATGGTTAAGGAGGATGGGCCATGACCCTTCACGCTGGCCCAATGCGGATTGGAGGATATTAACGACTGCAAATGTAGCCGGGACCAACGGCTTAACGTGCCTTCCGAAGCACGGAGTAGCTCGAGATAATAATTTTTGGTCACCCATCCCGTGACCGACCCTTGCGAAAGTTGCTTAACGATTACGATCGCGGGCCGCGGCGCTTATCCACTACGCCACCGAGCTTGTTAAAACATATTGTTTTGTAAATATAATGCTAAATATGATATTCTTATATATTTCAGATAAGCCGCAAGTACGCGTTCACCATACTGTTATTAATTCAGCTGTACAAGTAGAGGCTGTGCTACAATGCTCCGCTCATGGGGAACCAACGTGAGTATTTAAGGAACATTGGTTATCAAGCAACGACAGTTAATAAACGATATAAAAAACCTGAGGCTGTGCTACAACGCTCCGCTCATGGGGAACCAACGTGAGTATTTAAGGAACATTGGTTATCAAGCAACGACAGCAAATAAAGGATATTAAAAACCGTTCTAATGTGAGTCGGACTTGCGCATGCATAGGCGTAGCTAGAGGGTAGCCAGGGTCAGGCCCATCCTAGTCAGCTGTGGGCCCTCCCTCATATATAAAACAACTTACTTGTTAACAAGATTCGCGGCTGGGGCCATGGAACCACGTAGGGTGCCGTCCCGGAAACGTGTAAAAAAATCACGTTTGTTGTATGGGAACCCCCTATAAATATTCGTTTAATCTTAATAAAATCATTTATTTTTAAAGTTACTATTTAAATACATATTCTGTAAATATTTCAAGCGTATGCCTGTTGTCGTTATCAAATATCGGGCAAAAGCAAGTATGGGAGTTTATTTTTTATAGTTTGAGGTATAATAATATAAATTGTACATTATACTTGACATATACCATTATACTAGTTATTTTCTAAATCTATATTCCAGTACACAGCATTTATACATAAAAAAATATAATTGTACACAGCATTTATACATAAAAAAACGAATATATTATTTCAGCACTAAGTTTAAAATGTATGTTTTTCAAAACAAAACATGAAAACTTTAAATAACATAATACTATCATATTAAATACTATCACGCCATAGTGAAACTTTGAAAGAACTTAAACTACAATTAAGTGAATCTAATAAATCTCCGTAAGAACATAAATTATTATACGCATGGCATATATGTGAAAGCGGTGCATTTATTGAGATATTGGTATTTTTTATTATTTATGGTATTTTTATTGGTAATTTTTTAGTATTTTTTGTTGAAGTGGCAACAGAAATATATCATCTGTGAAAATTTCAACTGTCCTACTTTCTTGGTTCATAAGATACAGCCAGGCCCCGGGCTATAAATGGGCAGACTGGGCATTTTCCCAGAGCGCCAAATTTTTGGGGCCGCAAAATAAAAGAGATAATAAAAATAAATGAGAGAAACAAATTGCCTTAAAAATATAATTTTAAGTTGTAATCTTTGCTGGAAGTGTGAATTATGTAGAAATAAATGTCTACAGTTTACAAACTAATAGGGTTCCAGTTTTACCCTTTGGGTATGGAACCGTAAAAAAAGAATATTACTTATCACTTACTGTGAAAAATTATTATAATGATATTGAAAAATGGAAAAAGAATTAAGTTCATATCTCTTGTTTAAAAAAAAAGGAATCTTTATTGACCCATTTATAAAGAAAAATATATAAAGTTGCCAATACATTCAAGTGACATCATATAGAAACAATCTTAATAATAGCTTCTGCGTCATCACAGGTGCGGTTAAAAACTTATTATTAAATGTTAATTTATTACCATTTCCATATCATTGGCAATTACGTACAATACTCACCGATTTTTTATCGATATCGACTTTTGGAAGAGGCAATCAACTAATTTACAGATACATACGCACAATCCTTAATAGACCCCCTAGCCTAGACTGTTAGTATTTCTTGCAACAGAGATTTTCTTCAGAATCTACTCGTATTTGAAAATCGATCCGCTAATTTGTCGCTGTGTCCTCTAGAAGCTAATATTAGTTATACAAGGAGAAATTGTTTAATCTATACTTCTACCATAGAGAAAAAAATATATTGTCTGCTTGCAATGGAATGACCAATTTTAAAAATTCTTTCACTTAAGAGAAACTACCTCGTGTGTTCATAAGTCACCACCGAAAGTCCAAACTTGGAGTCACTGAAGAGAACCCTTGTTCGAGAAGCAAAGCGGATTCCGCTAGAAAAGATTGGTGCCGCCATTGATGACTGGCCAAATCGTCTAATTTTTTAATTTATTCTTTCACAGTCCTTCCATCTCGTGGTATAAAGACGGTAGCCTAGTAGACTCTGCGTCTCAGCAGTACGTCATCACCAGAGATGGACCCCACTCTAACCTCACTGTTGTGCCACAAATGGACCAGGACTTCGGAACATTCACCTGTGTCGTAAGTACTTTTGAATAATCATCAGCCCTTTACTTCCCATCCCATGACCAACCCTTGCGAAAATTCCTTTGGCAACAAGAATCGCGAGTTGACAGCTTATCCACTACCGAGTTACATGAAAATCTTATTTATTATTACTAATTTATTAATAAAATCCTTTATTTTTGAAAACCTACTGTTCTCATTCTCAGGCGAGGAACAACCACGGCAAACACAACAAGTCGATCGAGCTAGTGCAGAGGCCTGTTGTCGAAGAATTGGACGTGGTTGGTAACAAACTCACCTGGAAGGTGCACTCACATCAACCACTGGAAACGATAGAATTGCAACTCCGAGATATGGCCGTAAGTAAATAATATTTAGGATCCTACATAACAATATATTCTGTAATAAGCCCAGTAGAAATATAGATTTGCCAATCATTGAGCCTTAAAGCATGGATTAACCCAAATATATCTGTGTAGCAGATTAACTTTACAATCTTTAAAGTTACACTAGCTAGTGTGCCTGTATAAGGGACCGGCGAAGAATCTCAGTACTGAAACCGATGAAATCAAATCAAAATCATTAGTTAAGTCTAGGCTATTAGAAGCACTTGTGAATCTGCGGCGGGAGACCGTACCTAGAAGAATCGGCACACTCAGCAAAGGCTACTTTTTTCTCCATGTTTTATTTCATACAGAGATATCAAAATTAAAAATTGAAATCATATAAGTATGAAGTCACTTTCTATCACAATACTTGAAAATAACAAAAATATATATATTATATTGCTTGATATGGTTTGATAAAGAGCATGTTTGGTCAATATTAGTATTGTTCGGGTCGCTCCAAGGTGTCATATTAAGATGTAATATTATTATACGCCAGGACTTCGTGGAGTAGATGAGTTAGGTACACTGAACGACTTTTACATTAGGAACAACACTGAATTCACGTAAAATAATTGTATTACCTACAGTCGCCGAACGTATTAAATAACTGATTATTATTTCGTGTTTTCAGTGTCTCTCCCATAGTAAAAGTTGTTCAGTATACTTAACTCATCCACCCCATGAAGTCCTGGCACATAATAATATTACACCTTATATAAGATTAGAGTAGGTCGATGGCGTAATGGATAAGAGCCGCGGCCCGCGATCGTAATCGTTAAGCAACTTTCGCAAGGGTCGGTCACGGGATGGGTGACCAAAAATTATTAACTCGAGCTACTCCGTGCTTCGGAAGGCACGTTAAGCCGGTGGTCCCGGCTGCATTTGCAATCTTTAATATCCTCCAATCCGCATTGGGCCAGCGTGGAGGGTCATGGCCCATCCTCCTTAACCATGTTACGGGTTCGGTGCTTGGGTCAATTAATAAGGCTGCTTAGCTTGAGTATATATTTATTAGTTAAATAAGGAAACCTAGGAAAACAAACGGTGGCATGGCACACCGTTACAACCATCCATAAGGAAGGCCTGAGCCCCTGCAGTGGGGACGTAAAAGGGCTGGTGATGATATAAGATTAGCTCGATTCGTCTTTAATATTTTTATTCAACTCCTCGTGAAGATCTGCTTTACTCAATCGATCTAATTAATATTTGTGATAAGTTTATTGCAAAGCGGTTGATGGCATTTTTTCAATTACATTGACGGAGACGCAAGTCCACTGACATTTGAGCTCACACACAGGAGACGATGGTTGTGAAAACTTGATGCGAGTCTCGAGGACACGAGTCTCAAGACTCTTGTAATATAAGGCGATCATGTATGGTAGTTTTAAAGATGTTATGTAGTTTTTATTTCACCTGAGATTCAAAAGATCTATTTTGATCGCAAATACGTTAATCACTTAAATAATCCTGTAAGTATTTTAAAGAAAAATTAATTAGAGCGTTTACATTAAAGAGAAGACACAGTTTTACTGATGAATTCTAACCTAACCCAACCTAATAGTATTTTACTATGTTCTAAATAATAAAATCAAAAATAAGTATTCTAATGAAAAATACGTTAAAAATGTAAAAAAAGTTAAAAAGTGCATGAAAGATTCGTCATTTCTGTTAGGTCCTGGGTAGCTCAGTGGTTAGAGCAGTCGCGAGGATTGCAAAAGGTTAGAATCCCATCTCAGGGTGCAGGGACCAGGTGTCATTAAGGATATTTTTCAGTACAGCATTGTAAATGCGAAATTGATCAAATATCAAGAAAAAGTATTTACGAGAAAAATGGTTGAAATAGTTTCAATATGTTCTTTAGATGGGCAACTTGACTGTTCTGACGATCCCGGTACCAACGTCCAAGGGCCATGAGTACGAGGTGACGTACGTCCTAGATAACCTGACCCCTGCCAAGTACGAGGCTGTGGTCAAAGCCAAGAACACTAAGGAGTGGAGCCGGAACAGCGACCCGATGGTTGTTGAATACGGTAAGAATTATGTGAATTACAACGTTATTTATGTTACGGGGTAACCTAAATAATATGTTTTAGGAACTAATATAAGAGTGCGTTTTAACGTTACTTTAATATTTCTGTAAATAACTTTCATTCACCTATAAACATTCATTCCACTAGCAGTATCGACACGCACTGCTATTTGTCTTATTAGTTTTATTAGTGATAGACAAGAATAAATGCAATAGAATGAAGATATGCATGATGTTAAAGATACTGAAGTATAATAAAATATAATTGAATATTAATGAATGAATGAATACACTTTATTACGTACAATTACAATTATACAAAACATTTACAATTAAAACTTAACACAATATTGCTAAGGTAGCAATTTCTTCCAAGTTACCTTTGATATTATACACACTCTAAGCTATATGTTAGCAACACTGGGTAAAATAGCCGTTCAATTAGACGGCAATAAAATATAATTTAATTGATTGATTTTTTAAAAATACCTTTTTATTAACAAAAATATTCGGCGAAAACATTAAAGTTTTATTTTTATGGTAGCTGATGTTGAATCTCATTGGTTAAAACAGTTGACTATAATATAGGTTAATTTGCTTAATTAGTAAAAATTGTTGAATATATTTTTTTTGCAATAATTAATTTAATTTCGATTTCTCATTTTTCATAATCACTTTTTGTGTTTTATTGGTTGCATGTTTTTGATTTTCGCTTCTTTTTTTATTTTTTAGAAGCGCAGCCAATGTACATCCAACATGCTTCAGGTGAGTTGCGTTTATATTGTTTATATACTTGTTTGGTTTAATAATTTTAATAATAGATAATGGTTACACATGTGAACTATTTGTAACACTATTTTTAAATCGCTTGGATTTAAAATTAGTACTTTATTGATAGTTTGAGAATAATTATAATTACTTTCGGCCCAAATCATTTCTAAATCGATTCTTATTCCTAATTAAGTTATTGCTCATGACTAAATTACTAGTATATGTTTTAAATATCTATGTCAATATAATCGTAAATCCAATTAAATTAAAAATAATAAGGCAATATGGCCGTTACATAAACTACTACCCTTGACTTTTAAAATATAAAATACATATTTTTTTTATTTATTTTTTTTTATTGAGGAACAAACAGTTTTATACATTTTATGAAAATTAAATATTAACAAAAAGTAAACCTACAGTTCCCTATATTACATTTTTTGTGATACATTTCAACCATTGAAGATAACATAAATAGATTTAATTACGACAATTATACATTTATACATTCCATACAAAACAAAACAAAATAATCCAAGATAGTGTCCTAATTATAACATGATTTCATTTATTATATCCCATTACTTTATATACTATATATACCCAATAAAATAGTTTTCAAAGAAATGTAAGCTAGCTACAATTTTGTTTCTTCTTTTCCAGTGTTGGGTGGGAATTCACATTCCGTAAGGCCATCCACAGTTCTCCTCTCGACGGTCTTCATGTACCTACTCGTACGAATGTTCTAATTAACGACTAGCATACTTATTTATTTGTTAGTTAACCAAGTATTTGTGTTAGAATGAGATAGAACACTTGTACCTTTCGATGTATCGGAAACTACGCTTTCGAATGTAGAACTTTGCAAATGGTGGTATTTTATGTCTGATTTTTTTTTTTTTTTTAAATATCTCTACATTTTTTGTTAAAAAGCAACCGCTTAAAACCTTTTTTGGCTAGTCTTATAAAAATAGTGATTTTTGAGAACCGTTTGTGTGCAAATTTTTGCTTTATTTAAAAGATAATTTCGGTGGAGATATTTAAACACTTTTATTAGGGATTTTAGCACATTATCGGATAAATTCACGAAAAAAAAACGAAAATAATTACAGCTGGAAAATCAATGGTGGACGTAGACCTCGAAGTACAAACCAATCAAAACCCCAGTTCAGAGTAAGGCCTTTCTACTCTTTGTTTTCAAAACTAACCTCAAAAACAATTATAATTGAAGAAAAAGACATTTCTTTCTTCAAAGTCCTCCTAAGTGTTCCCAAATGTGGCGTGTCAAGAATGAGGGGTAGCAAAATAATGAAATATACGTAACCTAATTTACAGGTCCCTTGTTTATTTAAACTTAAAAGTTGTATTTGGACTTTTTCAAGTTAGACATTTATCGATATGAAAACTAAAATTAAAAAAAAAACTCACTGAGAAAAGGCTTTTACTCTTTTTTCTCCCAATTTCATTACTGTTTTTTTATTTGTTGTACAGAATATTGTAATTTAAGAAGTATATTAATGTTTATTTAAGTAAAAGACCTAATAGATGTTATATATGGGATGTTACTTAAATATAAAAGTACGGAGCGTGTATTAAAAAATCTGCATTTTCTTCAGAACATGTTTTCATCATTAAGTTTTAATGCAATGTCTTTTTTTACTTTAAATAACTTCTACCAAACTATTATTTGTAAATATTATTAAATAATTTACACAAGTGTAATTAAAAGTAGGAAAATAATATGTCTTGCTATTTTAAAACGAAATCTTGTTTATTTTTCATAAATTCTTATCTGTTTAAGTAACTTTCTTCTCACAATTATTTTAATGTTTTAAAATGATAGTAGGTAATTACTACCAAAGTGTAATTAAGAATCACATTTAGCTCTTAAGTTTAATGTCCAGTCTATAATTATTTTATTGGTCATATTTTTATAACAACAAAGCTTGTATTACAAAGATTTCTATTTAGGTATTAGATAAGCTGTTCAGTCCCACTTTCTTACTCTGTCTGAATCAGCTTTGAATTCGACTTCGAGCGCAGCGCTGCCACAGCACAGGTTCAATCAAATTAAACGCCGTGGTCAAAGACGAGTTCTACCCTGATTTTATTAGAGACTAGCAAAGTGGAATTCAAATTACTCGTAAGACACAATATTTGTCATGTGGATTTTGATAATATTTCCTGGCTGGTTTTGTGGCCATACATGTTGAATATGCATATATATTTTTAAATAAAAGAAAATATATTAAATAATTATCAAAAATAATGTCAAATAATATGAATTTAAATAATAATAATATTTTGTCTGTCATATTAGTCAAAACTAGTTTGGTTTGACTATTCATCCTGGTGAACCAATGAAGTATAAAATTTATGAGCGATTTTTTCACAAAAAAAGAATATCAAGGAATATTTCACTTCTACATAGCTTGTCTAGTTGCTTAAATAGAAGTCTTTTATGGAATATAATTTAAAATGTAAGTATTAAAAAATGGTCGGCTGTTGTTGAAGAACAAAAACGTTTTTCTTTTCTAATTCTTTAATTAAACATAAATTCGAATTTATCGAATAAAATTTTCAAAATTATTCTTTAATTTGATGTTTCCATTTAATTCTAAAATTAAATCATCACAGAACATGTATTTTTCAACATCATTGTATTATCGATTCAAATATAAGGTACTGTCGCCTAATGAGTCTTTGTTAGCTGAAATCTAAAAACTGAAGTGTACTAACTGAAATTGGATCTGTCCTTATTGACCAGTTGATGTGAAACTCTAATTCACAAGTATTATAATTGTTATTTAAGTACTTCAACACGCAACTAGGCGCCAATACCTTATTCCTAATTGTTCACCCTATTTATCGATTTAATAATAATGAAATCAACTAAGTACAGTTGCCATAATACTATTAAAACAATATCTGATTAGAAAATAATTATTTATAATGTTAAATAGATATTTTACCATTTACAATTTAATGTAAACATGTGCCTGTATTATATTAACAAAGTGAAGAGTTCCAATAAAAGGTGCTTTATGTACTTTCTGTAATCGTGTATTTGTAATTTTTCCATTAAAACTTAACTATTAGTTATTATAATTATTACCGCTAGTCCTATAATAATCACAGTAACATTAAAAGAAATGATCAAAGAAAATATTTTAAGCTTTGCTATTTTGTAAAAAAAAAAACGGCGTAGAGGGCATTTTTTGTCGCACCATAGAGTTTCAATCGAACAAAACCTGCTTCATAGGTAATAATGGTTTTATATAATTAAACCTCTGTGGTTCGACATGTTTCTTACAAAATAGCAAAATTTATTATTAGTATTTTTTTTTCCAAATTTGAAAAAAAGCTTGAGTTACATTATTAAAGAAAAAAAAAATTGTAACAAAAATAACGATCTCATAGTTTAGAGGATTCGTGTATATTTCCGAAAACTATGGGTTATTTTATGCATTTTTTATTAAAATATAATTAATACGCCTTATCACGTTAAAGACTATTAAAAGTGAATGCCTAGTTATTTGAAGCATTGAACTTTTTCATCAATTGTATTGGTAAATAAATAATTATACACATTTTTGATAAATTATTAAATGCGAACGTCATTTGCATCAATGTTATTAGATGGCCATCAATATAATATACTAAACGTGGGTGCCTTCTAGATTTGTGAATGAAGGTGATATTTTTTGTCGTAAAATGATTAAACGATTAATGTTTGTACATATATTTATATCATTTGTTTTATTTGACATATTTTTAAGACGCTTTTCCCTAGTTCCCAATCAATACAATATATATCCGACCTACCACTTTCTACTCATAAACAGAACGATGCTTTACCGGTTGTGTATAACATAAATATCACCATCCTATTAATGTATCTACTGCTGAGGGACAGCCTTCCCTGTAGACGGAATCAAATAGGAAGAATGGGCAATGACCTTCCAGGGCCGTACGGGTTAGCGGGTGAGAACAACTCCAGATACAGTCGAAACTAACGTCTTAACGTGCTTTTCAAAGTAAAGCCGAGACTTATGCCCGTTTTCGCTAAACTTAGGAGTCGCCTAAATATTTAGGAATCACCTAAGGCAAAAATGAATTTCACCATTGACTAGGAACCACTTAACGAAATTAAGCAATGTCTAAAGTTATGACATTCGTTATGCGGCGCCTTGCGCTAGGCATTTGCGTATATAAATATGTCAAGGGATAAAAGAAAAATATATTTAAAAGTAATAATAAACCTAATCTGCTTAGGCGATTCATAATATTAGGCGTTTCCTAGTTAAGCTATGCCTTGTTCTAAGTTAGTGAAAATGAGTATTAATCTCGTTGACAGCTAATTTTTTCGTTGACAAAGCGTAGGAGTCAATCAAATAAAACCAGTTTGTCCCTGGCACTCTGAGACGGGACTCGAACCCTTGATCTTTCGCGATTCGAGCGACCGCTCTAGCCACTAAGCTACCCAGGACCTAATAGGACTGACTTTTTCAAGCACTTTTTTTTACTTTGTCGCTACTAAAGAGCGTATTCTCATCAATGTGTAGATAGCATTGTGAATCAAATACAATAAGTAGCAATAGTAGTTTAGACCAAACTTTGTAGATAATTAAAAAAAAACCTAATATAATCTTGCACAGTAATAATGTTGCTGCTATTATTCTGGCACTTATTCGTGTTGTGTTAAAACTGATTTTTGATCAAAGTTGTTAACGATTTGGCAGTGGGCGTAATTAATATATACATATATATTTTTTTAAATCAAACCTGATTACTGGCAGAAGATGGATGATGAAACTGGATTGATTTACTGGCAGAAGAAAAATATATTTTTCTATTGACATATTCATCTGACAAATTGTCATTGAATTTTGTTTCTCTTCTTTTATAAACGGATTTACTATAATAGAAGCCGTTTTAATTTTGAATAATGTTCGTGTTTTTCTATGTATTATATAGATTGTTATTGAATTATTTCAAACATTAGTCGGGGTGAAGAATAATTACTATAGTCGGTAAGTGGAATTTCTATTTTAAAATTCCGTTTCTGGTGATATAGAAGTGAAAACAAAGCATGGTAAGCATCAGACGTTCGTTTTTTTTTATTCTATTGGTCTATTTGAAGGCCCTTTTTTTGAGATCGCATTGATTATATTATTCGATAAATCAATGACTGAAAAAAAGAAAATGACAACCGAACTCACCCGCATACATACGGGCCCTATGCACTCATAGGTTCCCTTTTATACCGGGTTATTTTTTTAACACCAGCAATCTTACAGTACTAGATAGTTAACAATATTCCTTCCACGAGTTTTGATATTTCGTTACATTTTATTTTTAGTGGTAAATACTCTACGTGGAACATTGATACTGTACGTGAGCGTTGTAGTTATGTTGAAACAGACAAATAAATAATCATGTCTGTACAATAATATCTTGAAAATTCATATTTGGTCTTAAATTAAAATAATAAGTCATAGGATAAATTGTAGATCAATTTGGTTGTTATTTATGATGTAAGCTATCTAATTTGCTGGTACTTTATAATAGCAACCCTGTATTAGCAAATAAAATGAATAGGTTATAAAATACTAATGAAATGACATTCAAATGATGTGCGTCAGTACAGCAGCGCCACGATTTGGAAGTGAATTCTTTACTCAAAAGCCAAATCCTAAATCAGTTTCCTTTATTTAAAGTAAGTGTCTTGATTGTAAAATGTGGTCTTGATGGTATTTTTATCAACGGCAGTGCTCCATTATGTAGATTGTATGTGTCTAAACTACCTGATGTTAGATAGAATTTGTGTTTAGGATATGAGCCGACATCCAAGCCACGATACAAGCCGAGAAGAAAGTCAAGAAACATTGGGAAATGTAAGTATATTAATCAATAAATTTGTTACAGATAAATAGAATATCCCAATTCAGACATTTGTCCCAATTCAAAGTTAAGACTGTACTTGATAAATTAACAAATACCGGCAATCTATTGGAAAAAAAAAAATGTGTCTTAACCCAATTTTTTCGAGTGCGAGTGAAGTTTCCTCACGATTATCAATTTTAAA